GGGGGGGGGGGGGGGTGCAGGCAACCCAGGGGAATTTTGACATTTTTAAAATTTTGTCGTCAAAATCCCCACCGTTGGGCAAGGAACGGCTGTCAAAATTCCCCACTATATTCCTAAGATAACAAGGCACACAGATGTTTTCCAATGTGAACATACATTCTATACTGGTTTAAACTTGGTAAAAATTGAGACACTGTACAAAAAATACCTTTTTCGATGAAAGTTGATCTTGCTTCTCTGCCATACTTGTTACCAGGCCTTTTAATGTCAAAACCGCGCAAACTTTCAAGATGGCGGATGTCAAAATTCCCCTGGGTTGCCCGCACCCCCCCCCCCCCCCCCAGGGGGAAAACAATGATAGGTGCATAAGCTGCTAATAGTTATAAACATAAAAAACGTTGCATTTTTAAAACTAACACATAAACAAGTTAGCATGTCAGTTAAATAAGATTAAAAACAACAAAAAGTTACCTTCTGATACTGCCCGATAAAAAAAACTTGAAAAGCCAGAAAAGGTTTTCGCTGCTTCGCAAATGCTAGTACTTCCACTTTCCAAAATCAAAGTTTTCTTTTTTGTCAAAATTTTCCTTTAAAAATTTCGCCATTTTTATATTTCCGATTAACGCGATTTAATAAACAAGACGTCTGGTATTGCTAAACAAAAGCCGCTAGAAGTGTAAGAACAAAATCATGCATCTATGAGTATTAACTTTGCTTTCTAAACGTGATTGTAAGCAAGTTTGACTTGAAATAGCGTTTCATTTCGGTATTAGGCAGCAAAATACCGAAATGTCGGTATATCGGTATTTTTAAATTGTCAATATGCCAAACCTGTATCTAAACAAATACCGGTATATCGGATATATCCGGTATATCGATCCAGCCTACCTTCGTCTCTGTTATATAGCTGTTATATAGCACTCCTGTCGGCATACAACACGAAATCGATTATCCTGAAATTCCACCTGAACTTATTATTAGCAAAATTGACGTTTATCGCAAATTATCCACAATTTCAATTTCAAAGTCATCGGGTCCTGACTGTGTTCCTAACTGGGTCCTTAAGTCTAATTCATTAATACTTGCCTTACCAATAGCATCCATATTAAATGCATCCATACAACAATCATTGGTCCCTACTATCTGGAAAAAAGCCGATGTTATTCCAATTCAAAAAGTGAAGAATTTAAATGATATTAGTACGGATTTGCGACCAATTTCTCTTACACCTACCTTAGCTAAAATATGTGAACGATTCATTGCTGATTGGTTGATGAAATCAATTATTGATAAGCGGCAATATGGTTCACTAAAGAGATCATCGACAACACACACTTTTGAGCTTCATTCACCATTTACTGAGTAGATCCGATGAGCCAAAAAATGTTATAAGGATTTTCCTATTGGATTTCGCTAAGGCTTTTGACCATATTGACCGTAAAATTTTACTTCGAAAACTATCTTCCATGGAAGTTCCACCAATTATAATTAGCTGGATTAAAAACTTCCTAACAGAAAGAGAACAACGTGTCAAGATTGGCCTTTGTATGTCCGAGTGGTAAAGAGTTAATGGCGGAGTGCCCCAAGGAACCATACTGGGACCAATCCTTTTCTTGGTCATGATAAACGACTTTCTTGAAGATTGGCAGGACCGTTGGAAGTATGTCAACGATACTAATGCCACTAATGTATCAGGCCAAATTGCCCATCTCACCTTCAAGATATAGTAAATGACGTCACTACTTGGACAATTAATAATAACATGAAACTTAATATTTCCAAATGCAAAGAGCTAATAATCGATTTTTCTAAAGATAAAAGATCTTTCGAACCCCTGACTGTGTCTGGTAACCCAATTAAGCTTGTCGAATCTGAAAAGATTTTAGGTCTCGTGGTCCAAAATAACTTAAAATGGAATCTACACGTGGATAATATCGTTAAAAAGTCAAGTAAACGACTGTATATGTAGCCTGCGTAGCAGGCGTTTAGCTGACGGGCGGGTACAGAGGAAACGTCTGCCCAAATGGCTATGACAAATTTGTTGTCAAGTTTGGTGTTTATGACGTCGAATATCGACGTCATAAACACCATCAAGTTTGGTGTTTATGACGTCGATATTCGACGTCATAAACACCATCAAGTTTGGTGTTTATGACGTCGATATTCGACGTCATAAACACCATCAAGTTTGGTGTTTATGACGTCGAATATCGACGACATAAACACCATCAAGTTTGGTGTTTATGACGTCGAATATCGACGTCATAAA